CGTCCATCAAATAAAACAGCACGAAAACACTCCACGACACAAGGACAAAAAAAATCCGTTGCACAAAGAGACAATGACAATTTGCAGGTGCGAACGAAAGGCAGAAGATGGTGGGAGACAGTCCCGTCGTCCCAGCAGTCCGAGATCCAGCGAGTGTTCGGTCGAATGCCAGACACGGAGGACGATTGGCCCCGTTTACCTGACGGTCCCTCGTGGACCTGGTGGTTGCTGGCCATTCTACCACTGGGCCCCCAGCTACAAGTGGGAATCCTCGGCACGACGAGCCTGGAGAAGAGGTTAAGAGCCATCGAAAAGACTCTCGATCACATGGAGCAGAGACAGCTGACAGTGGCTCCTGCACCCTCCGAGGAAACGACCACCTCCTCGAGCATATGTCGTGACGAGGGTGGCATAACCGACACCACGGTTTCCGTCGTTCAGCAATCTTAAGAGAGAAGGAAAGGAAACAGAAGGGAGAGAAGAAAAAAAAAGATAAAGATCCTTCGAAATTCGGAGATTTGAATATTGGGGATACCACTTTTCACTCGATGTACAAAGTACTTGGAGAGTAGCTTACTGAAGATTACTACTTTTTACTCGATATTTAATACACACTATACACGTTCTATCCGAAAGTGAGGCGAGGGGAGGAAAGGATATCTGTGGCTCGGTTGATCGTTGTCCCCCGTGTGCATCGGCTCCCCTCCCACTTTTTTCTTCTTATACTTAACCCCGTTAGTTCCGTTTTAACGTCGAGTACCGTCTCTCTTTCTCTTTTACACGGTACTCGTTAAACTTACACAGCCAAGCGCCTTATCGACGGAACGATGATGGTGCAATTAGAAGAACGGGTCGAATGGACGATCGGAAAGAAGAAGAAGAAAAAGCGGCACAGAAGATAGAGTAATCTTTTCGTCTCAGTAGTGGGAATCCTATATAGGTGGGTGTTGTAAACGACGTTCGTTCAAAGATCGATCTAACGTCGTCGAATTTTCGATAGTAGCCTTGTCCGGAATCTGATCTTTCTAAGGTCGTTCGTGTGATCCTTGTGGAAAATAAGAGAGAGAAAAGAAATGCGCTCTTTTGCAATCTCGCTACGTGCTCTCGACGCACACACATCGCGACGCTCGCGTTTCCTGACAAGAGATTGACGAGAAGAGTCGCTGGAACCGGTGCTGTCGATCAACGCTGAAACCTCTTCTTCGTCCTTTTTCTCTAGATGTAGAAACACATGAAACGATACGCTCTCAAGGGAATCAATCATATGTATTCGGCAATACGTGTCTCCCATGTGCAACATGGCATCAGTCGGCGTTCCTATACCGTAACAATGAAGAAGAAAACGGAGGGAGCTCCCTAAGCTTGTACTTCGGTTTTACTTGACAGCACTGATTTAGGTGAATCACCGGTACCTTTCACAGATGTATAGTTAAACCGTCTATAAGTATTAAAGAAATTCCGCGAAAGACTGTACAGCATCGAGCTTGAACGCTATGGCAGCGATCTTGAACGGTCAGGTAACTCTGAACGAAGATTCTCAGAGGAATTAGGTAGAACTTCGACGACAGATCGCTCCTCGGACGCACGTTTTAATATTAACGTCGATAGAGTATCGAGCAGAGGATTGTTAACCTGTTAACCGGCATTATTTTCTCGCACTATGACTACTCCTAGAAATACAGCGAAAAAGTTGAACGAAAAAAAAAGAAGAGAACAGACAGATCTATCGATAAGTAAAGAAGAAGAAAAGTAATATAGACGAGACATTTTTACGTTAAACGAAGTGAACTCTCGTCGTTGCCGGTTGATGCGTTGTAAATGGTGAATTAGGCGAGTCCGACCAAGGTAGGCGAAATAGAGTCACATATCCGAGACGAAGTGAATGTTGGTTTAGTGTATCGTTTGCCTCGGTAAGGCGTGACGGCGTTCTTCGCGCTGTTGCAATACGCAAATCTGTTCTTCCAGATAATATTATATATACATATATCTATATGTATACACACACATTTATGTATACACGTACATGAGCATATTATACGTTGCAATCAGAGAGAGGTACACACGTCGATTACGCCGTGGTTGTCACCGTCGTCGTTGTTTACGCTTATGTTGTTCGTACACGGGAACGGAAACTTTTTACCTTTCGAAAACGAATCACGCGGATATATACTCATATACATATATATAAATATAACGATGGTACAATGATTACGAGGGAAACGAGGAGTAGGGTGTGTGTGTGTGTGTACATTTTTTGTCTCGTGGGTGTGCTGAGTACAAAGAAACGTTCATCGGATAGGAGGACGCACGGGGCGGATTAGTGGAACCACAAGTGTTGTTTAGAGTTGTCGCGCGCGTGGAGCCAGTTTAAGGCAGATTCGGTGATTCTGTTTACTTTGGGACGCGTCGAAATGTATACAAAATGCACAAAAAACAGTGAACGAAGATTTGTCAAGTTTTCACGACGATCTTCGTCTCGAGGAAGTTAGTTGGTAAATGTTTCATTTTTTTGCCTTTCAATTTCTCGGTTTCTGTCCCTTTTAAACGGGAGCTATATTTTGAGCACCGGTACCAAGAGAAGGAAAGCGGAGGTGCACCGTTGGAAAGAATTAATGGATCGCGTTTCTAGGGAATTCCGCGAAACGAACCAAGTTTTATGAATAGACGAGGAAGAAGGTAAGATATTTGAAAATGATAATACTGTTGTTAAATTTATATCGTGTATGGAATTTTTTTTAGAAATACTCGAATACTTTAATAAAGTTCGAATAGGCGATCCTTTAATTGCTTCTCAAAGGTGTGCTTGAATACCACCTTCTTGGAGGTGTTTTACGCGTTCCACGGTGAGAATCGCCGGGGTAGATTGATAAATGTAACGATCGAGTTTAGATCTAGGAGACGTGAATCCTGAGAAACGTGAGATTTTTTTTAGATGGAACGTTCTATTTTCACTCAGCTTCTCATAATCGGCCATACTTGTTGAAGAAAAGGAATTTGTAACAACGAGATCATCAGTCTTATGTGGCAAAAGCGCTCTTGACGTGACACGAAACTCATTTTTTTTTTTTTTTTATACCGTTTCGGCCTGTATTCAGAACGCTCTAGTAGAACGAACTATACTCCTTTACTTTCCTAATTCTAGGCGACGAGGTCTATTATAATAACGATGTAACGAAAACGACAAAGAAAGAAATTGTTTCAACGCTATTACTTCTTTATTATCTCATCGTCGATGTTGAATATGATATAATTTATATTTATAAAGAAAATCTGTAACGCGGTAAAGAAATGTTTGAAATTCTATGAAAGAAATGAAAGATCTTTTAACTATATTATTCTATAAGCAATCGTTGAATCGACAATTAGACAATTAATCAAAATTAGACGTTTAAAAACATTGATAATCATACACCGTATTCTTATCGAAGTAAACGTAATTTGCGTCCAGATAAAAATCGTTCTATGGTTGTATGTATGTATACAATAACAACGTAATATTCGAGAGAGTGTAATTTTCGACGTCGCGTTTTTTTTTTTTTTTTGCCAAACGGAGGAGAGGATGGGTGTGGTAAAAAAAACAAAAAAGAAAAAAATATAGAAGGAAGAAATGATAACGCTCGTGGAGAAAACAAAAGGCGTATCGTTTAGTGATAATACAGTGTTTATGAATACGAGCCTTTAAGTTTATTCCGTCGCTCATAAGACTTCTCGACCTACGGTAGCGTATAGTAATTTATTTTTCATGCGGTTTTTTAAACGTCATTCGAGAGACATAGGCGGTCGTCTGAAGAGCTATGAAGGGGGAACGTCATATCAGTCATGCAATCAAACATAAAACACAACAAACGAGAAGAAAGAAAGAAGAAAAGAATCATACGCGTCTGTTGTCCATGATATAATTGATCATTATTATTGTTATCATGATTACTATTATTATTATTACTATTATGATTATTCTAATTAATTATTACGAACTTAAGAAGAGTACCCGTTGCTGTAAAACGAGTGTACCGTCTTACACCACTATTAGCTCTTAGTATCGTCGAATATTCTATTATATTATTATTAAAAGAAAGGAACAAACAAAAAAGAAGGAAAAACAGAAGAAGAAATTGCGAATAACAATTGACCTACACGGATTGGCATTATTCGGAGGAAAACACACGCATATACACACACGTATTATATATTTCCAAGTCTCTTTAACGAGAGAGAGTGTGCAGTATGACGGGAGAAATAAGACGGGGAGAGAGAGAGAGAGAGAGGAGAAGGAACACTTTTTCATCGCACGTTTTCTAATTGATATAATAATAATAATAATAATAATATTATTACAACGTTTCGTCTCCACGAAGGAACGGTAGGGGACACAATGAGGATGTTTGCGGTCCCCGAACCACCGGTATCTTTAGATTTATATTCTCTTCTCTAGACTTTTACGAAGTTGTGAATCATGCATTGTGATATTACTGTATAGCCTACCTATTGTATATTGTTATAACATAACATTACAAAATAGTATGTAATGTCACGCAACTTTCCATTTTTACTTCGACATTTCTATATTTATCTTCATCTCTTCATATGGAATTATTGTAATAAAAATATCAATGAAATCGATAACAGGGCGTTCGTTTTTCTTCCTTTTCGTCTAAACTTTACAGCGATACCTCCTACTTTGCGCAGAGGCTGTGAAATAGAAAAGTTCACCGGGTGAAAATCGAGAAGACAATTGGTCGCCCTTCGGGCACAAAATTACAGCGAAAACGTGGAAAATAATAGAAATTTCTGTGCTTACTACTTTAAATTACGATCTCGATAAGTAAAAATTTGGGAAGGAAATATCACTGTTTGAAAGTAGAAAAATGGGAAAGAGGATTTGTTAGTTATTTTCATTCGGTTGTTATTCACAACTGAAAACGCTGCACGCGTTTAAAACGTCAATAGTGAGGCAGCTTCAGGCCGAACGCGGAGGTTTCTCGGATTCGGAGGCGTCGAGTATGAGCAGTAAGCTCGAGTACCTGGAGAAATATTCGGTAGCACCTTCGCCCAGCAGAGATTACTACGGGCTGAGAGTATCCGAAGACCAGGTGCTGACGAATAGATCGCCTCTCCGCGATTTTGCTTCGTAACGTCGCCACTTTTGCAGGTGACACTCTATCTCTGGCGAATCTCGCACGGTCCTCATAAAACGCCCCTCGTAAGAACCTCCGATTTCGACGATTTCAACCAGGACCGTCAGCTGCAGGAAGAAATTCGACGTATTTTCGGTAGTCAGACCGATGAACTCGTTGAATAACCTCTTAACCCCGCGGAAGGCCAATGGTTTTACAGGCGAATGCAGGGTCATTTTGACGTGTAGAAAAATTTATAGCTCGCACGGGTTTCAAGAAGGAATTGGGTATAAATATTTGATATTTTTCTTGTTTATTTACATCCGATACGTAAAATAGCCGCCTGACTTCGTCGCTGTTGAGTCTAAATGACCCTGCATTCGTCGTACGAGGGTTAAGGATACGTTGAAATTTGTGAGACTGAGGGTTCAATTTTAATTCAACTTTTTTTTTTCTCCTTTCGAAAGTAGGACTTTCTTCAATTTTGTCAAAAAAAAGGATTTTCTTCAATTTTTCAAGGCTTCATTTTTTGTGACTGAATGTGAACACAGTCAGATAGCATATAGACGTGTTGTGAACGTCTTAAAGACGTCGAGTAAAGGGTTAAAGATGTCGAAAAGACGTCCAGTGTTAGAAATCAAGGTGTCTTTGACACGTGGGACAGTGAAGCACTGTGCACTGGTTTTAGAAACATCTTGAAAACGTCTCAAAGATGTAATTTTTCAGGTTGTAAGACAGTCAGAGCAGAAATTCGCGTAGACGTCTTGTGTTATCTGAGCATGTAGTAAAAATAATATTCGTACTATCTCATTAGATTTATTAACATTAAAATTGCAAAAATTATTTTAAGTTTTAGATTCAAAAGAAATGAATAAATACACGAAAAATTGAATCTAATAATATTTTTAAATTGCAAGTATAAAAAAATAGTATTCTTCATATTAGTGTTCTAGAGTGAAAATTTTAATTAAAAAAAAAATTAATAAGTAAAAATAATCTTTTTAGTGGCAATGTCATTTCACAGATTTCCTTAGAATGTGAATTCGATTAAAAAAAGCGAATTTCCTTCTGTTTATGAGGTATTATTTAACAGGTGAATATTTACTAAAGCACGTGAAAAACATCGTTTCTGGGAATAATAACTTACTGACTCTACCAAAGTGTCTCATCGAAAGATTGATTAGATATTTAAAGGTGCAAGATATCGCCAAATTATTATCTCTGTCGCACGTCTCTAAGGAGGTAACGAAAATCGATCGAATCAAACTTTCACTTCATTTATTCACTTAATTAATCCAAAAATATCAATATACATTTCGTTCCATAATACTCAGATTTTCGACGACAATTTCGTGTGGGCAGCATTGCACAAAAAGTACAAACAACGAACGAGGAACAGGTACGAGGAATTCTACACTCCTACGTATAATTGGAAACAATTATTTCAATTGAGACACATGCAAGGATTAATGAACGAGCAGAAAGTAATTTTACCGCGGTTTTGAAACCCACTAATTTCTAACTTTTATGCAAGCATCCTTCATTTCAGATGCTTCGAAATCGTCCAACCGCGAAGCAAACGAAGGCAAACACGAAATTGGAGAATTTGTTGAAAGCAAATCTGAAGATAGAGAATTTAGGAAGATCTGATCAAAGAATTGAAAATTTAACGAGGACCTTCAATTCGAGCTTCAAAGCAGCGACAAAAAGTATTCTACCGGAAAATCAGGTATCGAAAAAGTCCACAGATGTTTCTCGTAGAAGGAACGCTCAAAATCCTGTTCCGAAGAAGTCGTCTGATCGTCTCGAGGAAGTTACGAACGAAAAGGAGAAAGTATCTTCAGAGAAGAAAACTCTGCTCGGTAGATCTCTTCAAACCGGACAGAAGAGTATAAAAGCACCGAAGGAGCAGTCGATCGCTTCAAAAAACGACTCGAAACGTGAAACAGATAAAGACACAACTGGAAACAAAACTGCGGAAACGAAGTCGAACAAAATTGCGACTAAAACGAAGAAAATCGACACCAAGTCTAGCAACATGAGCCTCAAAACGACGGAAGAAAAATCGAGCACAAAATCGAAAAATGCGCCAAAGGTCAACAAATCCGAGAAACCGGTATCGCGTCTCGCTCAAGGCGACCAAACGAGGCCAAAAATGAAAGGAAAATCGAAGAAAATCGGTCAGAGTAAATCCACGATTTTGAGCACGAACACAGCTTTTCTGAGCGATCATTCCGCCGTCAGAGACGACAGCTTCGATCTGGCGGATTTGATCGAGGCAAGCTTGAAGAACATCCGCAGTCCGCGAAGCATATTCGATTACAGCTTCAGTTGCATCGAGAAATCGAAATCCTGCGGCGGTGACACGAAGCTGCAGGATGTCACTCGAAAAATGGCGGATCATCCGAGGGCGCTGAAGAGCGGCCACATCAAAGCGAGTCTGGATCGATTATCGGAGAAATCCGAACCTCTCACCGCGAAATCGATCGATTCTGTGGGGAACGGTGGAGCTTCCGCCACGCCAAAATGTGGGAAAACGTCGAACGCCGATTCGAAAATATCGACGGCGGAGTCGAGTAAAAATCGGTGCAAAATTGTGATACCGGAAGGTAAGGTAGATCACTTCGAGCGATACGGGATTTACAATAAATATCCGACACCGAGGATGCAGGACAACGTCGAGCAGAAGAAATCTACTCCTCGAAAGGAAATTGACAGGATGAGCGTGTTACGATCTTTCGGATCGAAAGTGTCGCGTGGTAAGTGTGTCAATCCTGGTGCAACCGCTGACGTAAATCGACAGGAGGCGAGGAAAACGGTCGATAGCGTGTACAAATATTTATAAACGGGCTGGAATGGAATCTTGTGTGTTTGAGAAGATAGTGATCGATGTACTCGTGAGAGAAGGACGATACATTTTTGTAATTTTCTGAAAGATGAATAACGACGTGGAAGTAATTCGAAGATTAGCGTATTGTGAAATAAAATGATTTCTTGTTAATGAGTTCGGTTGATCGATGTCGTTCAGGTTTCGTGAAATTGTTTATATTTAAACAATTATTTGCAATTGATCGAAGGATAAGATTTTTTGACGAAACGCGAAATACTTTTGTCGCATTCCAGGAAAATTACTCGTTTCTTTTTCTTTTTTTAAGCGGTAATCGTTCGCTGCGAAGGGTGAAAATCGGCATCGAAGTTGGGGCAGTAAATATGTTTACTTCGATATCTTGAAACCTATTAGGAACAGTGTAACTTTAACAGTGTATTTCGGGACCACGAATGTGGCTGTTTAAACAGATTTGAGAAAAGCCCCATTTGTTCAAACAATACACCAAAAATTAGAACATTTTTGTTAAATTTTCTTAGAAAACATTTATCAATTTTCGCCTCAACTTGTGTATATAAGTTATACACCTAAACACAAAATACGGATAAATCAGAATCTTGATTTTTTGCAAATTAAGAATAACAACTGTTCTTGAAATTTGCTATCAGAGATGGTAAGTTTGCAGACAATGTAAACAGCGAATGCCAATATTATTTCTTATGCCATAAACTGCCGTAAAGTCAGCTAAAGGAAGCCCCCTAGCAGGAATCGTTGATTATTTGGTGCACATTTGAAATGACATCGATGGTTACTGTGGTGAAGAGATTTATTAAGAATTGTCCTCTTTACGATAACAGTTCTCCCGGGAGATGCGGGCAGATATACAAAATAATTGTCGAGCGATGCTTGTATTTACTGATACAAACACACGTATGTGTACATAAGACGTCGCCAAAGAAAAATCTCGCAACTCGTACAATCTTTAAATATCCTTAAAACAATTACGTGATAGTGTCAGCGAAGTAGTTTTTAATTAGCGATTAATTGAAAATATTTAAACGCTTTAACTTCTGTTATTACTTAAGTGGAATCGAGGTTAATTTGAATTCAGAAATTCGCTACAATCTTCCCTTTGCTTTACTCGAACGTAATATTCTGTTGAACGTTCTAAAAGTGCCGCCTAAAAGCACCGTGCAAACTATAATCTGGCGTTTCAGCAGGTAACTTATTTAGAAGCTCGAATTTTACAAAACAAGCGAAAGGTTTGTATGAAAAGCTGCGAGTCTTGTATCGCATAGGCTTTCGTCGTAATCGCGGTGATTCGAAGAAGGGGAATTACTTCGGGAAAATTCATGTTTCATAGCGATTCGCTTAATAATCACAATCTAAAAGTCCGAAGATTTATTCTTCGCTCGTACAGAAATATATCCTCGTCGATTATCGCTGCAAAACCGATTACATACCAATATTACACGACTTTCGTTTCACGTGATTTATTGTCCGCTTTACGCTTACGATTTAAGCACGATTTCGACGTGACAGTCTCGCGATTTGAACTAACAATAGGTAAAATTAAGTCTTTCGACGAAAAGCTCGTAGCACGTCACGCGAATTCGTAGGATCTTGCGAAACTATGAAAATTAACTGGGGAAATATGTATTTTTCTCGGAATTTTCATTTTTAAATAAAATCTGAATGACGATACTGTTAATTAGAATAATTCGAATATAATAGATTATTTGAAATTGCAACAGATGTATTCCAAGTATGGAATAATTCTCGCAATTTATTAAAAGTAAGAGACTTTCGTATTAGCAGAATTCGATTCACGAAATTCTGGTTAGTTTTAGGCTTAGGAACAGTCTACGTGTGTGTGTGTCTTTACATCTGGAAATTCTCGATTTACATTGTTTTTTAATTCAGCTGCGTCAGAATGGAATCACAACCATACACGTTTTGGTATTAATTTCTTGATAGAATTGACTTTTTTTTTCCTTTCCTTCGTACGTTTCCTATTCCACTGGACTTTTCTTATTTTAATTGACAACGCCGCAGTGATTTTTTCCCTTATGACTTGTTACGAAGTAGCTGAATACCTCTCGAACAAAATCTTTTCACGAGTTGTTCGATCGATGTTGAGCAAAACTACCGCCAAGGCTCCGTTTCGTCGAACATTCTCTCTATGTTATCACGTAGCATCTTTTCTTGCTCTGCGAAGTGTAAACATTTTTGTGAATATGGGTACAAGATAGAAGTGACTCTACTCTTTTTTTTAAATAATTGTTTTTGGAACACATGGAAAATGTGGAAACTGAATTCTGTTCTTTTTTAGAAAACGTGGAAAATATGGAAACTTTATTCTATTTTTATTTTGGAAAACATGGAAAATAGATTCTATTTTTTTTTTTTTTTTGGAAAACATGGAAAATGGATTCTATTATTTTTGGAAAACATGGAAAATAGAAGAAAATAAGAATTCTTGAATTATCGGATAAAGAGCGATTAGTCGATTAATTTACCTTTCGTTAGATTCGCAATTACGCACTGCTTCCTAAGAAATTCTAGACATAGTGTACGCGAGAGACCAAAGGCGTGCATATTACAGGTAAATGTCCTAGAAATCATAAACTGAGTTAGGGTATTGTTAATATACCACAGAATTTACAAAATTCAATTTATCTACCCCAACTGTCCAAAGACAATATTGGCTTGAAATCTACGGTCTTCAGCAGCAATGGCTTCCTGATCTAGTGATTTAGGTCTTGGAGGAACTGGTCTAGAAGCTCTTTCACACTGTACTGCGTCGAAGAAAGCTGCCGTCCAAAATCTCATTGACGTCCATATTGGTTGAACTCTCAAATGTGTGTACAAATATTCACGATATGGTTCCAATCCTGGTACTTCAACTGCAAATAGAATTTATCCAAATATATTTCGAAATTAATCTAATTTAACTGAAAATATAATCCATCGAAATTTATTTCGAAATGAACCTAATTCAACGAAAAATGTAATCTATCCGAAACATTATATTTCGAAATTAATCTAACTCAATGAAAAATATAATTCCTCGAAAGATAATATTTCGAAATGAATATAATTCTACTAAAAATACATTTCGAAATGAATATAATTCCACTGAAAATACATTTCAAAATGAATCTAATTCAACGAAAATTTTAAAAATTTGTAGAATTTCAAAATTCGTTTTGCACTATTTCTATTACTTCTCTACCTTCGTGGTAAAATGTGAAGCACATGTTCATGAGACTCTTGGCAGGCGCGAAATCGTCCGCTTCGTGACATTCGAAAAGCGCCACTGCAAAATGTTGCGCCAAAGAGTAAAACGAAGCTTCTGTTACGCATGGTCGAGCTCTCCTTGCGTTCACCACACGAGAGAACCATATCCTGCCGGATTCTGTCTGCAAAAGATCAAAATGAATTGACGCAGTTTCCAATTGACCGGTTAAATTTTTCCGAAAAATTGTAAATAAAAGAAAATCCATTTTTCGATTAATCATCGATTAAGAAAATTTCATCGATCAATCCTTTCACTGCTTCTGACGCTTACAGACTTTCGATGAAAATGCTCAGAGCCCATAAACCCTCAAACGTTTATATCCATTTATTTTATTTACTTTGCAAATATAAAATACAAAATACCGAGCGAAATTGCATTACAGCATTACTAATCATTTATTTATTTATTATTTTGCAAATTTAAAAAAGCAGATACGGAGCGAAGAAGTGCATTACAGCATTGCTAGTGACTTGTTTATTTTTTATTTATTTTTCAAATATAAAATACCAAATATGGAGAAAAAACGTGATCTGATTAAAGTGACTATTTGTATATCATTAATAGTGTTTACAATAGCTCGGTTACACACCGCAAGTTTGTTACTTTCAAGTTGTTACCAGTGAAAGGGTTAAATTACTCAATATTCAACGTGAACAAATTCTTTTTCCCAAAAATATGCTAACTCAAACAACTAAGCATTACTGATTTATACGTAACAAACACGTACAAGGACCATTTGGCCGAAACTTGCTTTCTGCTCCTGATCAATAGTACTTGGGGCGTCGAATAAAAGAGGCACGAAGGTCTTCATGAAATCCGCAGCTGCTTCCTCGGATTGACTGTCGGCTGATAAACTGGAAGCCCAAGATTGAACAGATCCAGATGAATCTAAAGAAAAAAAGAGAAAAATGTTAAATTGTAACAATACACATATATAATTACTCTATAAACAAAGAAATGAAATTTTCATAATCTACAAGCACATATACGTAATGAATATATTAGAATAAATTTTTACCCGATCTTTGCCATAATCTACGGCCGTCCATGTTGGAATCCAGGCTCGTGCTAGGACCGTAGCCATCCTGATCGCTCATCGAGTCACTGCTACAATGTATATCTGAAATAATATTCTAGAGGAAACATTCTCCTAATTTTCATCTCCTCGTCTCTACTATTCGCCTAATTAATGCTCGAGCCTGGTGCGTGTGCCGTGATTAATTTGTTGCTTCCACACCTTTGGAAACACGTCTAATCTAATGCTCGAAACACGAAATACACAGACAGAGAGGAGGTACAGTGATGCTACCGTACTAATAGAATCTCTAGGGAGCTATTATTTGTATGGATAGAGCCTAATTGGGTAAACTCAGCTTCTTGCGTTTCAAACGGGACGGATTACAGGGTGTTCTCAAAAATTGGATACAAAGTAATTCTTGAAAAATAAATGAAAATTTTTTCCCTGGAAATTTAAGTTGATCTTCACTAGTACCTTATTTTCCTTATCAATTAATTCGGAAGAAAGTGGATTGCAAGGTGTTTTGAAAAATTGGATACAAAGTAATTCTTGAAAAATAAATGAAAATTCTTTCACTGGAAATTTTCGTTAATTTTTGCTACTACCTTATTTTCTTTATTAATTAATCAATTCTGAAGAAAAAGGAATAGATAAAAGGATCACATGTCGTAGTGTGTAACTATTAGCAAATATAACACAATAAGTGAGAATTCTTTGAATTGTACGAAATTTTTCCAAGAATTCCTATCTTCACTTTTCGCTATAGTTTTGAATGAATTGCTACATTGTGACAGTTCTCCGCTGTCAACTCTACCAGACTAGAAAGCACACCAGTTTAAAGAGTTTTCTAGCTGGGTTTTCAAATTACACGACAACAGATATTTACGCATAGGTGAGTTCACGTGAAAGCGTACAACGGGATATTCCCCACCGAGGGACATAAACTCTAGGAATCAGGAATCTATTTGCATTATTGCGTTTGCACCGACGGAGAAGTTTCAATGGTGCCCATTCACGCTGCTCGCTAAAAGCGTCTGCGCGTTTCCATGTTCTTCGGTTATCTGATATTAAACTTTTGTAATTGGATTCGAATTCTTTTGGATGATTCAATTTTTGGCGAATGTGGAACTGAGTAATTGCCTGACTGCGGATTTTTATGCAAATTCGTATTTTTGTGAATGTAATTGAAGAAATAGAAGAACTTATGTGGAGAACAGTTGCACTGATTTCTGCAGATTGATTGTGTATCAGTAACGTCGAGTAAACTGCACATTTACGAATACGAACGAATTTATTAAAACAATGTTTCCCAATTAAAAAGTTCTGTTTACTTTTATAGCACAATATTGTTACAAATACAAATGTATATAGTAAGCTTCGTCAGTTTTCACAAAACGGATGCATTGATTAATTAAAAGAGAATTGTTTCCGATGTTTTATAGCGAATAAACTGGAGTTTATCAGGGATGCCCGCGGGCTTGGAAGGTGCCCCCGTGCCCGGAAGATGC